ACGATTTTTCTGAAACTTCAGGTCTATGAAGTCAAAGGAGAAAACTAGTGCTTAAACTATAAATAAAAACCCTCTAATCACCGGAAGTGGTCAAGAAAAGTATCTAAACTTTGACAAAATTCTGAAAGATAGGTTGCCAGGCAACAAAATATACGCCCACAGCAGCTAAATCGTCCGGGCGGTCGACAAGGGTTGTCGCATATTTATTCCTTTGTAGGTAATAATCAGATCAGATTATAAATTTGGTCGTTTGAGGATTTACAAGGTTCTACAAACTGACACAAGGGTCTCAACTCTGGAAGTAATCTACAGAAATTGTTGAAATTTGACAGGCTTTTTCGTTTTACTAATTTAAATAATGCATATAAATTTCATACAGATAACATGATCACTTTTGTCATTCAAACGTTCACAATCGCCATAAATTATTGACGGAAATTGCTGAAATTCAATAGACTTGTTTCACAAATTTAAATGATGCATAAAAATTTCATACATATCGGATGAAAACTTTCATCAATCGAGCATTAACAAGGTTTAACAAAGTGAAACAAGGGCAATAACTCTAGAAGTAATTATTGTAAATTGCTGAAATTCAATAGGCTTTTTCGTTTCACTAATTTAAATCATGCATATAAATTTCACAAAGATCGGATCATAACTTTTGGCGTTTACAAGGATCAATAAAGTGAAACAAGGGCCATAACTCTAGACGTAATAAACGGAAAGTGCTGATATTCAATAGGCTTCTTCGTTTCACTAATCTTAATAATGCATATAAATTTCACAAAGATTGGGTGATAACTTTTGGTGTTGGAGCGTTCACAAGGTTCAATAAAGTGAAACAAGGGCCATAATTCTAGACGAAATAAACGGGAATTGCTGAAATTCAAAAGGTTTCTTCGTCTCACTAATTTAAATAATGCATATAATTTTCAGAGAGATCGAATGATAACTTTTGACGTTAAGAGTGTTCACAAGGATCAATAAAGTGAAACAAGGGCCATAACTCTAGATGTAATAAACAGAAATTGCTGAAATTGAATAGGCTTCTTCGTTTCAGTAATCTAAATAATGCATATAAATTTCAGAAAGATCGGATGATAACTTTTGACGTTAGAGCGTTCACAAGGATCAATAAAGTGAAACAAGGGGCATAACTCTAGACGTATTAAACTGAAATTGCTGAAATTCAATAGGCTTCTTCGTTTCAGTAATCTAAATAATGCATATAAGTTTCAGAAAGATTGGATGATAACTTTTGGCGTTAGAGCGTTCACAAGGTTCAATAAAGTGAAACAAGGGCCATAACTCTACACGTAATAAACGGAAATTGCTGAAATTCAATAGGCTTCTTCGTTTCACTAATTTAAATCATGCAGATAAATTTCACAAAGATTGGGTGCTAACTTATGGCGTTAACCGCGTTCACAAGGTGCAGTCAAGTGAAACAAGGGTCATAACTCTAGATATAGTAAACAGAAATTGCTGAAATTCAATAGGCTTATTCGTTTCACTAATTTAAATAATGCATATACAAGGTTCTAAAGATAGGTTGCCAGGCAACAAAACATACGCCCACAGCAGCTAAATCGTCCGAGCAGTCGACAAGGGTTGTCACATATTTATTCTTTTGTAGGTAATTAGGGGAATTTAATAGACAATTTCATACAGATGACATTATAATTTCCGTTGTTTGAAGGTTCACAAGGTTCTAAAATCTAAAACAAGGGCTTCCAAATTCGAAAGGCTTTTTTCGTTTTAATAATTCAAATAATGCATATGAATTTCATACAGATCGGATGATAACTTTTGCTGTTCCAAAGTTCACAAAGTTCAACAAAGTAAACTCTAGATGTAATTGATGGAAATTGCTGACATTCAATAGGCTTGTTCGTCTTCATTTCACTAAGTTAGGTGATAACTGAAACTCAATAGGCTTGTTCGTTTTACTAATTTAAATGATACATATAAATTTCATACAGATCGGATAATAACTTTTGTCTTAAGAGCATTTACAAGGTACAACAAAGTGAAACAAGGGCCATAACTCACGGCGTAATTAACGGAAATTGCTGAAATTCAATAGGCTACTTCATTTCACTAATTTAAATGATGCATATCAATTTCAAACAGATCGGATGATAACTGTTGTCATTAGAGCGTTCACAATATTCAACAAAGTGAAACAAGGGCCATAACTCTAGATGTAATTAACGGAAATTGCTGAAATTCAATAGGCTTCTTTGTTTTACTAATTTAAATGATGTATATATATTTCATACAGATCGGTTGATAACTTTTGTCATTAGAGCGTTCACAAGGTGCAACAAAGTAAAACAAGGGCCATAACTCCAGAAGAAATTAACAGAAATTGTTGAAATTCAATAGGCTTCTTCATTTCACTAATTTAAATGATGCATATCAATTTCAAACAGATCGGTTGATAACTGTTGTCATTAGAGCGTTCACAAGATTCAACAAAGTGAAACAAGGGCCATAACTCTAGATGTAATTAACGGAAATTGCTGAAATTCAATAGGCTTCTTTGTTTTACTAATTTAAATGATGCATATAAATTTCATACAGATCGGTTGATAACTTTTGGTGTTGGAGCGTTCACAAGGTGCAACAAAGTGAAACAAAGGCCATAACTCCAGAAGAAATTAACAGAAGTTATTGAAATTAAATAGGCTTCTTCATCTCACTTATACAAACAACATATATCAATTTCAAAACAATCGGTTGATAAATGTAGTCTGTAGAGTGTTCACAAGAAATTGTGGCCGATTGACGGACGGACGGGGGCGACGGCAATATACGACCATATTTTCATGTGGGCGTATAAAAACTGAAACAAGGGTCTCAACTCTGGAAGTAATCTACAGAAATTGTTGAAATTTAACAGGCTTTTTCGTTTTAATAATTTAAATAATGCATATAAATTTCATACATATCGGATGATAACTTTCATCAATCGAGCATTAACTTTTGGTGTTGGAGCGTTCACAAGGTTCAATAAAGTGAAACAAGGGCCATAACTCTAGACGTAATTAACGGAAATTGCTGAAATTCAATAGGCTTTTTCGTCTCACTAATTTAAATAATGCATATAATTTTCAGAAAGATCGAATGATAACTTTTGACGCGTTCACAAGGATCAATAAAGTGAAACAAGGGCCATAACTCTAGATGTAATTAACGGAAATTGCTGAAATTCAATAGGCTTCTTCGTTTCAGTAATGTAAATAATGCATATAAATTTCAGAAAGATCGGATGATAAATTTTGGCGTTATAGCGTTCACAAGGTTCAATAAAGTGAAACAAGGACCATAACTCTAGATGTAATTAACGGAAATTGCTGAAATTGAATAGGCTTCTTCGTTTCAGTAATGTAAATAATGCATATAAATTTCAGAAAGATCGGATGATAAATTTTGGCGTTATAGCGTTCACAAGGTTCAATAAAGTGAAACAAGGACCATAACTCTAGATGTAATTAACGGAAATTGCTGAAATTCAATAGGCTTCTTCGTTTCAGTAATCTAAATAATGCATATAAATTTCAGAAAGATCGGATGATAACTTTTGGTGTTAGAGCGTTCACAAGAAATTGTAGACAGACTGGGGCGACGGCAATATACGTCCACATTTCAATGTGGGCGTATAAAAATTACCAGTAGGCCTTAGGGATTCTCATTAGGAAAATATTACTTCACCTATTTTCTGAGGCTCATTTTAAAAAATGACATTTGAAATGTCTCTTCTGACAAGTCAAATGAATACCTGAAGATGTCTAGATAGGGCTAAGCCCTAAGCTAAATTAGGCCTAGGCTACAGATTATAAAGTCTGTGGCGTTTTGTTAAATAATACCTTTGTTAATGTGACCATTTTATGAATGAAAATATCCACAAATATCACCATACATCGCTGGAGGCCAATATCTAGTCCCCATTTTTTCACCAATCCATCCAGTTTTCAGATCATATGGATCAGGCTGTTTTCCTGACGACAGTGCCAATATTGAAAGGAACAGATATAAACATTTCATGTTTCGTCAAAATCAGATAAAAATTGCGACCTTTAGAGTGTCCACAAACAAATCTGAATGAACGTCCAGATGGAACCACATGAAAATGTCCATACAGTGTGAACCTTTCAGAAAGTGGTAGATAACTGAGATCTGCTGCAAAATAAAATGGGGTCTAATGTCCTACTCCGACTGGGCTAATGAATACAGTCATACGCTATACAGTGTGCCACGCGGGAAATTATGCCCGGGCAGCGGCACTATGGCATACTCTTATATTGAATTTCAACTGCAACGGGATCTTTTCCGTGTACGCCAATGTATACACGGGACCTCCATCCTGCACCACTCACAAGGGGAAACCATGTCCGAAAAACCTGATGAACTATCTCGGCCAACACAGGGAAATTTTGCCCGGTGATAGGTAATAGTAACACTGAAACCAAAAATTAGCCCGGTGAAGATTTTGAACCAAATAAAAATGCCCCCCCCCCCACCAGCTGAATTTCTCAAAGACGACGTCTCGCCTAGGTCTAGCCCTACGGAGGAATGTGCAAGCAAAGAAAGCACAAATAATCCAATCTGCGATCACTCAGTATCTGAACAGCATGAGATTCATTGGTCATTACTTATTGGTCAAGGCTATTGCATAGTTATAAGGAACTTGCCCACAATGGGGAAATTGAACAATGATCAAAATATACATTGTTTAATATGTAGATTATAACATCTTATTCTTAATATTCTCCAGGAGTCCAGTCTGTGTATTAACAAAATAGCATAGTGAACATTTCAACAGTGTTCATTACAAACATAAATACAAATTTGTTTGTTGTGTAATACAAGTTTATTTCCTAAATAATTGCTTTCTCAGCAATATTTGATTTGGCTTTTACCCCAGTTTTGCTGTTTGTTGTGGTTAATTTCTAACTGTCTTCACACAAATCATTTGTCCACAACATCAATGATCTATTTACTAAAAAATTTAATCCTATTGATCCCAATCTACATATCAAGCAAAGCTGATCTTAAGCCAGCTTTCTGAAGTTCTTCAATTAAGTCCCCATTTTTGTGCATTTCTAATATTACATCACAGCCACCAATAAAATCACCATTGATATATACCTGGGGAATCGTTGGCCATTGAGAATAGTCTTTAATACCTGCAATTTAAATGTTAATACACGATATTATACATACTTTGTCAGGTAGCTGAACATACACTCGCCAGTAACCTTTATCAACAAACATTGATATTGATTATTTCATTTTTCTTCTGTTAAGAAACAATCATTTATAGTTATTAACTCCATATTTCAAATGTTCACATCTACAGACGACTGACATTGAGACCATCTAAATCAGAATCTGTTCAAGGTTAGCATGTCTGTTAGTAGTGTGATAATTTCCACATTAGGAATTTTTGTTTGAAGTATTAAAAGGGAATGCTTTGAGTAAGAACTGTTTTGGTTTTATGTTATAATATGTGAGTGCCAAAAGGTTTATTAAGAGATTATCTAGAGCCAGGGTTGTGAAACTGATAATGCACCAGTTAAAAGATTTCAATCTTTGAAACAAGCGGTTGCCATGCAAGATATGCCCCACATTTTGCAAGAGATGGAAGGGGAGCGGGAAAACAATAGGGCTCATCTTCTCATTGTCTCAATGCTTCACACCAAATTTGAACAGAAAGATAGGTTGCCAGGTAATGTAACATATGCCCACAACAGCTAAATCGTCTGAGCAGTCGACAAGGGTTATCTCATATTTATTCTTTTGTGGGTATTGGGTGTGTTTACAATACACTGATCTCAATTTAATACAAATTGAATAATAATTTTTTATTTGTTTGAACATTCACAACGTACTACAAAGTGAAACAAGGGTCATAAGTTATAAACAGAAATTGTTGAAATTCCATAAGCTTCCTCGTTTTACTCTTTTAAATAATACAGATCGGATGATAACTTATGCCATTCGAGTGTTCACCAGTCCTTCACGTTTACGATTCCGACCGAACGAAGCAATCCTTAAATTACTCAACATTTGTCTGAGAAGGAATGACTTCACTTTCAAAGACCAAGTATACCTTCAGGCTTCGGAATGGCGATGTGAAAATGATTTTCCCTGAGTTATGCAAATCTCTTTATGGCAGAGTGAGAAAGGGAAGTTCTACCACTCTGCCCATTAAACCAGATTTCTATGGACGTTTCTTAGATGACGTTTTCATAGTCTGGACGTATACACTAGACGAATTTTGAACGTTTTTCAACATTCCAACAATCATCACCCATCTGTCAAATTAACCGCAAATGTAAGTCAAAACAGCATAGATTTCCTTGACACCAACACAAAAAAAACAAACCTGCCAATTAGAAACGAAAGTACTTTTCAAAAAAAGTGACACACATCAACTACTGTTCAAAAGCTCTTTTCATCCAAAACATACCTTCTCTTACATAATAAAATATCATTCTTCGTTTTCATAGGTTATGTACACAGAAAGACGATTTTGAGTCTGCGTGTACTCTAGTCTTTGGCAAAATAAGGGAAAGGGGATACACCAAACGATATCTTTGACTCATAGGAAACAATACTCCTGCTGAAATTCCCGTCAAAGAATCAAACAATATGCAATTAACATTTAAAACCAAACCTTGTGGCCATTCCAGATGTCAGACATGCAAAATCGTAAACATATCCGACCACTTTCATAATAAAATATCTTGCACGCAATTCCCAATATTAGACCAACTTTCGTGCAGCAGTTCCAACATAATTTATCTAATTTCCAGTAGACAAATGTGACAAACAGTGCGTAGGAGAGACCAAAAAATGTGCTTCGTGAAAGAATTAATGGTCATCGGTAAGACATAGTCACCAAAAAGACATAAGTTCATCATGATTTTCCGACGTGGTTTCCCATTGTCAGTGGTGCAGGATAGAGGGCCTGACAAGAACAGCTGTCTAGTCGTTTGAATCGTATGAAAAACCTAGGTCCCATGTATACATTGGTGTGCACGTAAAAGATCCCATGGCAGTTGGATTTCGATAGAAGAGTAGGCCACAGTGCCGCTGCCCAGACAAATTTTCCCTCACAGTATGATGTATGCCTGTCTTCATTAGCCCAGTCGGAGCAGAACAGTAGGACGTTTAAACCCCATTTCATTTCATTCTATTTTTCCAAAAAAGACAAACCGGTCTCAAATCACTTCAACCAACCAAATCACAACATTTCTGATCTCACTGTCACACCAATAGAAAAGACTAAGACTGACTTTGAAACCCCAGAAGAAATCAAAACTTTTAGGCTAATAAGAGAAATTCTGGATTGAAAAATTAAAAACAGCCCCACCCCACCCGGTTTGAATATTCATACGGCTAGCGCAATACCCGTCTTTGTAGTCCCATTTAGCAGGGATAGTGAAACAAAAACGCTTTTAGAAAATTCTATCCCTATAAGAAACACACTAATGTGGCTCTCACCCGAGTGCCTCAATTTAATTAAATTTTTTCTTCAGACACAAAAATACCAGAAGAACATCAGTGTCACTACTGCCAAAAACGACCAGCACCACAAGCCAAATTTGTAAAACTATTTAAGAAAATATCACGAACTAAATTTCCATCATCCTAGGTCAGTGATTATGTGAAGAGTTAAACCCCTCCACAAAATTCTTAAAACTAACCCACAATCTCGTCAACAATCACGTGCCCTAACACTATTTACATCCCCTGACCTATGACCAAATCTGCAATGGTTCTTAGCAGTGATGGGATTTCAAAATTGTTCTTGTATAAAATAGCCTTTAAATATTAATTGTCTGCTACAATAATTTCATTTTGTGTGAATTTTCCGTCTCACTCAAGATGGCCGCCAGCACCAGTCAGGAATAAAATAGCTCTGGATAAATTGTACTGTACTTCAAAAATACTAACCAACAAAGTGCCATTCCTTCTTTCAACGTGAAGATAAGATTATCATACATGATTATTTGGATTTACGTGAAATTCTGTGGAATACCTTAATCTTAAGTTTAGATTTTTGGATTCAAAAATATAGTGACAATTCTTAAATAGCGCTGTGAATACTTAATACTATATGGATAATAAAATACTGTAAGGTATTGCTTCAATTATATGGATATTACGATCTTCTAATTTATGTGAATAATATACAAAATGTACTTAAAATACACGAAGATGAGAGTAAATTCATTTGAAAACCAAGCCTCTCAAGTAATTTCAAATTGTGAAACAAAACAGATTGATGTCAATAACTGAGTATTTCACACTTAGTGACTACACAGATAAATGCTTGCACAGTGTTACAGTACAATTTACTCAACACTCATATTTTAACATAATGGAAAAACTGTTGCATTTACACTACTCAAAAGACAGTTTTCCAAAATCTCAGCATGGTTTTGTTTTAACTACTGAAATGGATGGCAAAGAACTCAAGATTTATTTACCCCCAACAACGGATATGGTACATATTCAAGGAGGGGCCTGCATAGCATGGATTACATTTGTTTTTCCAAATCTTGTGGATAAATTCGCAGGAGATGTGAACAGCATTGAGCAGATTTAGCAGATTTCTTTGTAAATTCTGAATACAGCCATAGTAAATGTAATTATACCGCCCCCTGTGGAAAATAGTTCACTTGATTTTATTCCTCCAATTTATTCCACACCTTATCAATCACAAAATGTACATGTAACTGTAGCAGCTTTTCGTAGCTTTGGCGCCTTGAGTGGTGTCTTTTACGATTCATAGAAGACAAATTGTTCTTTTGGTTTATGGATTTTATGTAAGTATTCACTGATAAATACTGATACAAATAAAATGAAAGTGAAAATGGAGCATGGCTTAATCAACAACAATAACAAAATTATGGTTTCTAATGCAGGAGAGTTTTCAAAGGGACAGTATTATAGTCTTGGTTATATTAGTCTCTCTCACACTCCCCTCTGATGGCCCTGATAAATGAAAATTTAAAAGATAGGTTGCCAGGCAACGAAACATACGCCCACAGCAGCTAAATCGTCCGGGCAGTCAACAAGAGTTGTCGCATATTTTTACTTTTTTCGGTAATGAAACATTTATAATACACTAAAATCTGATTAAGAGCAACAACTCAGAAAACTATTAGAATTTGTTTGGTTTTTATAAAGTTCTCCCCCATGCTAACGTTTTGTATACAAAACTTTTAATACTGTATCATGGATTTAGCTGTTCCAAGTCATAAAAATTCATTGAAAATCAATATACTTGTTCGTCTCAAGATCTTAAACTCTGTGTATCAATCTGAAGTCAATCGGATATTAACTTTGGTCTCTAGAGTGTCCAGAAGATTTTTCAAAGTGATCAAGAAGGGCCAGAACTTTGGCAGTAATTATCAGAAATCTTTGAAAATCAATAGGATTCTTCGCTTCGTGACCTCAAACACTGTGTATAAATTTAAAGTCAATCAGATATTAACTTCAGCCTTTAGAGCATCCACAAGGTTTTTTGAAGTGATCAAGGGCCATAACTCTGGCAGTAATTATCGAAAATCACTGAAAATGAATAGACGTCTTCGTCTCATGACCTTAAACACTGTGTATAAAATTTAAAGTCAATCGGATATTAACTTTAGACTCTAGAGCGTCTACAAGATTTTTCAAAGTGATCAAGGGCCATAACTCTGGCAGTAATTATCGTAAATTGCTGAAAATCAATAGGCTTCTTCGTCTCATGACCTTAAACACTGTGTATAAATTTACAGTCAATCGGATATTAACTTTGGCCTCCAGAGCGTCCACAAGATTTTTTGAAGCGATCAAGGGCCATAACTCTGGCAGTAATCGGAAATCGCCGAAAATCAATAGGCTTCATCGTCTCATGACCTTTAACACTGTGTATAAATTTAAAGTCAATGGGATATTAACTTTGGCCTTTAGAGCGTCCACAAGATTGTTTGAAGTGATCAAGGGCCATAACTCTGGCAGTAATTATCGGAAATCGCTGAAAATCAATAGGCTTCATCGTCTCATGACCTTAAACACTGTGTATAAATTTAAAGTCAATGGGATATTAACTTTGGCCTCTAGAGCGTCCACAAGATTTTTTGAAGCGATCAAGGGCCATAACTCTGGCAGTAATTATCGGAAATCGCTGAAAATCAATAGGCTTCTTCGTCTCATGACCTTAAACACTGTGTATAAATTTAAAGTCAATCGGATATTAACTTTGGCCTCTAGAGCGTCCACAAGATTTTTTTGAAGTGATCAAGGGCCATAACTCTGGCAGTAATTATCGAAAATCGCTGAGAATCAATAGGCTTCTTTGTCTCATGACCTTAAACACTGTGTATAAATTTAAAGTCAATCGAATATTAACTTTGGCCTCGTAGAGCGTCCACAAGATTTTTTGAAGCGATTAAGGGCCATAACTCTGGCAGTAATTATCGGAAATCGCTGAGAATCAATAGGATTCTTTGTCTCATGACCTTAAACACTGTGTATAAATTTAAAGTCAATCGGATATTAACTTTGGCCTCTAGAGCGTCCACAAGATTTTTTGAAGCGATCAAGGGCCATAACTCTGGCAGTAATCGGAAATCGCTGAAAATCAATAGGCTTCTTCGTCTCATGACCTTAAACACTGTGTATAAATTTAAAGTCAATCGGATATTAACTTTGGCCTCTAGAGCGTCCACAAGATTTTTTTGAAGTGATCAAGGGCCATAACTCTGGCAGTAATTATCGGAAATCGCTGGCAATCAATAGGCTTCTTCGTTTCATGACCTTAAACACTGTGTATAAATTTAAAGTCAATCGGATATTAACTTTGGCCTCTAGAGCGTCCACATGATTTTTTGAAGTGATCAAGGGCCATAACTCTGGCAGTAATTATCGGAAATCGCCAAAAATCAATAGGCTTCTTCGTCTCATGACCTTAAACAATCGGATATTAACTTTAGCCTCTACTTGTGGACGCCGGACGGACGGACGGGGGCGACAACAATATACGACCATATTTCAATGTGGGCGTATAAAAAGGGTTATCACAATATGAGTCTTTGGTAATTGAGTCCTGGCACAATGGGAAATAGAACACAGTATAATAATACACAGATAATAAACATGGAAAATTAACATAAACGGATAAGAACTCTTGTAAAGGATTATTGGAGTCCTATAAATTGTAACACAAATATAATGATTAGAATGGATTATGAAATATCGTCGTTATCCTGGGTTAATTGAGTTATCCATCCTTTACGTTTGATATCTGCCGACACGGCTGCCTTACGACGTGGACGTATGGTTTCTGTTTCAATAGTTTTGGCTTCTTGTGAAACTATATCGATGACCACTGGGTTGTCGGTTTCTGTCTTATGACTGACTTCTAATGGATACAAGAACTGGATTGGACGGCGTAGATTAAATGATTTTCCATTAGTACTGACTTTGACACCGCGCGAAAGTCCATCATCTCCTCTAATGAGTTTCTCCACCTTTCCAAGCTTCCAAAGGCTACGTGGTTGATTTTCGTTGTTAACGATTACAATGTCACCTTCTGAAATGATATTGGAAGTATTGGATGAATGACTTCGATGAGAATTACGAAGTTCTAAAAGATATTCCCCCTTCCATCTTGACCAAAAGTGATTTAATATCATAGATAAATGATTAAGTCTTCTTCGCATTTCGATTGGTTTCACTGGATTAAAGTCTTTAGTTAAGTCCTTTGTTTCGCTTGGTAATCCGAGTATGCGACGACCGTAAAGTAAATGTGAGGGGGTTAAAGGTTCTTCCCAGTCTTCGGTTGACACATATGATAGTGGTCTACAATTAAGAATGGTTTCGATCTCTACAATAACAGTTAAGAGTTCATCAAATGATAATTTGGCATTTCCAACGAATTTCCGTAAACATCTTTTTGTGGATTTTATGAGTCTTTCGAAAATGCCTCCCCACCACGGAGCTTTCTCGAGATTATAAGACCATTTAATTCTTTCCTGGGAAAAATGATTCCTAATAACTGGATCATCCGTGAATTTCTGGAGTTGTTCTGACGCGGATATGAAGGTTTTCGCGTTATCAGAGATGACTTTCATTTGGAGTTCCGTATCTGGCAGCAAAACGTTTGAAACAGCGAAGAAATGATTCTGTTGTTAGATCTGGTAGTAATTCTAAGTGGATGGCAAGTGTGGAACAGCAGGTAAATAAGGCAATCCATACCTTTTGAAGTTCTTGGGTTTGCGTTTTCACATACAAAGGTCCAGCAAAATCTACTCCTGTGTGACTAAAAGGTGTAGATTCATTGACACGAAATGAAGGAAGTGGGGGCGGAACTAACACTTGATATGGCTTAGCATCAAATTTTCGACATGCGACACACCGGAATATGATTTTCCGTACAAATTGGCGTCCTCTTATAATCCAAAATTTCGATCTTAGCTGAGTCAATGTGGATTTTACTCCTCCATGCATGACACGATTATGACATTCTTTAACTATTAATAGGGTCACATGATGTTGTGAGTTCAAGATAATTGGATTTTTGAATGAATCAGAAATTTCTGCATTTTGAAGTCTACCTTGGCACTTGATTAACCCGTCGTGGCTAGTGAAGAAATCAAACTCATGCTTCCACTGGTTGAACTTTGAATTATTGATTAAACCTGATTGGTTGTCCTTTAACCATAAATTCTCGGATTTATTGAGCTCGTCTGGAGTCAAATGAGTTGCTAAATTCCGAGTTTCCCTTGATTTGGCTTTGAGATTGTTTATGTGAGAGAGAGAGAGAAATGTGGTTCAACATCCACTCGACACAAACTAGGTCATTTCGGGACTAACATATGGTTTAATTTTATTTACATAATTCACTTGCGCGTAGGGGTCTTTAGCAGTGGGAGGAAACCGGAGGCCCCGGAGAAAACCCACGAGGTTGGACAGGCGACTCTACTCCTTGCCACGTACAACCGGGGATTCGAAATCACGCCAGTCGACTCAATGACAGACTTTATGATACAGCGCGCGCACGCTAACCATTCAGCCATCCAACCCCCCAGATTGTATATGTATATAACTGGTTACAAGGATTAGGCGATTATAGTCACTGAAGTCCTCACAATTGATAATTTGACTGATGTGAGTATTTAACAAATCTGTAATCATGAGACTAGTGGTGACACGATCTCGTTCCTGAATTTTCATTTCCTGGATGCATTCATTTGGAATTATATCGGGCTTGTCAGTTCCGCTACCTGTAGTGTCTGTGAATTGACTTAACCAACTTGGTCCATTTTGCCACAATGTATTGGTTAAGAGATCTAATGGTGATATCCCTCTAGATAAAATGTCTGCTGGATTTGATTTTCCTGAGCAATGACCCCAACTGTGAATTGGTGTGAGGTTACGAATCTCTGATACACGGTTTTGAACAAATTGTTTATATTCACAGTGTATGCTTTTGATCCAATATAATGATACCTTTGAATCGGTCCAACAATAGAGTTTTTGGATATCTAATTGGTCTGATAAGGCCTTGACTACACTCTCCATTAACCTGGCCAATACAAGAGCAGATAATAACTCTAAACGTGGTATGGTGTGTTGAGTTATGGGTGAAACTCGAGTTTTTGAGACCAGAAATCGAATTTAACAGTTTGTTGTAGTTTCAATTCTAAGATAAATGACTGCACCGTAAGCCTTCATGGAACTGTCACAAAAGCCATGTAATGAAATACTTATGACTGCTTCGGAAACGCCATAAAATAAACATCTTGGAAGAAAATATGTAGTTTTGGTTTGTAATGATTCCACTAAAGTGGTCCAGTGATCTAGATTATCTCCCTTGAGTTCATTATCCCAATCATAATCACACTTACAGAGTTCTTGGAATAACATTTTGAACTGGATTGTTACTGGTGATAAATACCCAAAAGGATCAAATATCTTAGAAGCCAGACTTACAATGTTTCTTTTGGTGGGAACACAATTTTTTGCTAAATCGGCTATTTCTTGGAGATCAAAAACGAATAAGTCCAAGATATAATTCCACCTTACACCTAGTATCCTTTGTTCACTGTTAATGTCCGATGAACCAAAATAAATTTTGGTATAACTATCTTCATCACTAATAATATGATTATCATGAATAACAGTTTCTTGGGGTTTCAAATCATCCGATAACGACTCATTGGTATTGATTCGATCCATGAGTTCTGATGAATTACTAACAAATTTCCGTAAGTTGAAACCTGCCATAGTGAGCCTATCCTTAGATTTTTTATAGAATTCATACGCATTATCCACGGTATTGGCACCTGAACTTAGATCGTCAACATAAATTGATTCCATGAATTTCTTGACAAAGTTTGGGTCATCTTCCAAGAACTGTTCCATATGGAATTTTATTGTGGCATTTAAAAGAACGGACTGGATGACACACCAAATGTCACTCTGGTAAACCGTAAAATATGAAATGGTGAATTAGGATCATGAATGTCCTTGGTCCAAATAAATATTACATCTCGGTCTTCTTCTGCTATGGATACCATGAGAAATGCCTTTTTGATGTCACCGGTGAGTCCAATTCGATTTACTCTGAATCTCAAAAGAATATCTAATAAATAATGTGTCAGTGGGGGGCCTACTAGCAAACAATCGTTTAAAGAAGGACCTGGATTTCTATTTGACCCGTCAAACACAATTCTGAGTTTTGTGGTTTCCTTATCCTCACGTATAACACAATGATGGGCCAAATAATGAGTTCTACCAACTTCTCCAATATTGCTATCTTCAACAACTTCCAGGATTCCATTTTTGAGCTGATCCTTAATGGTCTTGTCATATTCTTTGAGAATTTCAGGTTCCTTGTTGAGTCTCCTGATTAAACTTTCATAACGTTTGAAACAAGTCAAATAATTATCAGGCAACAAGGGATAAGGGGTTTTCCATGGTAGATGTACTTGATATCGTCCATCTTTAAACATTATTGATTCACTCAAATCTTCATAAACAGATCTTGGCTTAATGCCTAATGACTCCAAGTCCCAGAATTTATGAAGACTGGTTTCAAGTTCTGATTGGTTTGACGAAATACTAGCTTCTAATTGGGTATCACACTTTAATACATGGGTAGTGATAAAGTTTGTATTTTCTTCAATGGATACATCACTAGTGTGTAATGGTCCTGATAATACCCATCCTAATTTCGTACAAATGGCTGAGAGTCCTGACTCCCCCCGTATGATACCTCCGGTGACAACACTCTAATATTGGTCGGATCCTATCAATAAGTCTATCTCAACATTACTTTCTGGCAAACAGCTATCAGCAAACGATATATTTGGCAATTGTGGAAAATACTGCTTGGCCTGGTATAAAGTTTGACAGGTTAATAGTTCGCATATGTCTTGTTTCTTTGGATGAACCAAACGTCTTTATGATTATGTCTCTTTTAGCAATTGTCGGCAAACCCAGATAATTTCGAAGTTTCATGGTGATATATGTTCTCTGGCTACCACTGTCTAATAAAAGTCTTATAACTGTTCTTCTAAAATAACTATCTGGATGAAATGCATGGCATTAGGCCGTTTGTAATAGAACAGGAGTCGTGGATTCAAAATATAACTTTGTGAGGCTGTTCTGAGCTGGATTCGTTGATTGATATGGGTTATTGCCTCTTGACTGTGACGGCTGCTGTTGTTGTGTGGGTGGATAACGGTGTTGACCATTATTTGGAAATTTATAACTGGGATTGGCATTCTGAGTTCTTGCAGGCTCATTATAGTAATCATTCCTTGGAGTGTAACCTGGTTGGGCATGGGTTGATAATAATTAGCAGTCTGGGATTGCGGAACTTGATACCTAAAATCTTGGCTATAATTTGCATATCTTGGATTTTCTGATCGATTATTGAAGTCAGGGTGGAGTTGAGAACAAATACTTATATGTCTCTGTCCACATTTTTGACAGTTTTTACCATCACAACTTCTATTAAAATGTTCTTTTCTGAGACAGATGTAACATCTTTTGGATCTTCTCAGAATCTCTTTTCTGGCTTGTACACTTGTAACAATTTTACAGGAATTAGAGGCATGAGAACTATGACAATAGGTATAGGTTGGACCAGTGATGGGATTTTACCCGTATATTCCGGACTTGTCCGAATCTTTTTTCGAAACGCCCAAAATTGTCCGACCGGGAATATGCCCAATCGGACATCAAGACATGGTGAATAATATTCAAATTCCAAAATTAATATAGTGTACTGAGTGTATAACTACCGTGCAACCCGATTATCGTTGATAATAGGCTGGATTGATTAGGTAATTAAGTGATCGACTATTTATCGTGTTATGTCGTCTACACACCTACCTTGATTAACTACTATTCTGCCTTGATTGGCTGACTTAATCCTTTGTCGGACAATTCATCAAATCAATCCTGAACAGATGTCATTGCTTCTCCTTTGTTGGACGATATATCAATCCAATAAGAGTGATTATAAACTTAATCTGATTAACCCGTGATTTGTCCATTCTCACGTAGAAATTAGTCATATATGTCACATATCCTGATAGTATATAACACCTCAAATCAACATACATTGTATCCGATAACTTGTCTGTGATATATTTTCGGTGGAAGCCGAAGTTAAATAAAGATATTTCACACACACGCATATGGCGCTATAGTTCAGTAATTAAAATGAAAGTACAAATCTCGCGAGACACGTGAAATTAAGAGGTGTATACGTGCCGAATCCAATACGATTGATGTCCGGGAAAAGATTCTATTTTGATGGCATATTGTCGGATTTATGATCATATTTTGAATGGGGTTTATGTCTTTAAATAAATAAACACGCTAAGAAATGTTGACGAATATTTCGATTGGAATGACGTACATTGTAAGTAGTTAATTGTTTTAGACGATAGCGCGTGCTACAGTCGAATGCAATTATTTAGCAGTGTTGGTGTCACACGCTCGTTGTATTTGAGCGTCGTTAACTACGGTTTACGGCCAAATAAATTTCAGGATGTCATTTTTTTACCTTCCGTATATAAATCGAAACGTAGTATCAGACGAATGTCGGACTTTGCTGAAAAATGTACCGACGTATGATGCGGAAAATACGGTAATTTTGGGGGAGTTTGAAACAGATCGACAGCAGTCGGCACGCTGCCATTCTATAGTATTGATGTCATGTAATTTTGTAGGAATATTATTGACATAAATTTGAATACCGTTCGGGTTTTAAAAATGAAATATAACGAGGTGCACCTATTTTTTTTTACATATGAATTTGAATATATTTTGTTGACACGTGATTCTTAATTGTGTTTTGAAAACGTCTGCTTAAATTACGATAAGAGTTATGCCCCTTTATTTTCGGGAAAAAATGTCAGACAATAATTTTTTTGAAATCCCATCACTGGATTGGACCGTAACTGGGTGTATTGGATGGCGTAAACAATGTTGTAGCTGTGCCTATATTCTTCATGTAACTGGAGTTCTGACTGACTGGTTTACTAAATTTGGAATTATAATTGGTTAATGGTGGTTTGTCGTATTTCGGTGGTTTTATAGAAGCTCTTTCTCTGGCTTCAACTTCCTGGTGTAACAATTCAAGAAATTTGTCAAAATCCCAATCGTCATCCTTCAATTCTCGGCTGATAGTAAGACGAATATCATTCGGTAATTTCTTTAGTATTACTGACGTCAACAGGCTTCCATAGTTCTGTGAGGGTACATTCAATGATATTAATGAACTCACATGGGATTCTATAGTGTCATATATGTACCTCAAACCTTTACCACTGACTTCTAATGCTAGCAGGGCTTTCATATGTTGATCAATGATTTTTTGTTTATTTCCATACTTTCTTTTCAGCTTTTCCACTGCCTTTCTGTAATTATCTGAGGTTATGGATAAACCACCAATGGTGTGGGCGGCCTCTCCTTTAATAGAACTGAGCAAATATTTAAATTTATCAATATCAGGTAAATGTGGATGATTATGAACTGTGGATTCAAACGAATCCCAAAATGTGGTCCAGCTTTCCAATTTCCCATGAAACTCCACCATAGACAATTCTGGCAATTTCACATGTGACCTTCTTTGGGGTGAAACCATGTTTGTATTTCTTGGTTCATCTGTTTCTGCATCATTTGCACCCTCCGTGTTGAGAACAGGACCAGCATCACGCGAAATTGAATTTTCTAAAACCTCAATGTCTCTAACAATGTCATTAACCTTTGATTCTGGGGAGATAGTGGAATTGTTAATACTGATCAACAGTTGTTGGAACTATAATATGGCCAAACCAATGAACGTTGCGAATTCATCCGCCGTGGGGATTTCTTCATCAATATTTTCCTGTTTTGTGGAATCTAATATTTCATCATTTATTTTTTCTAATACTTGCTCCTTTTTCTTAAGAGAATTGATTGTGGCTTGAATTTTTGGACGAAGTTCTGGGCTGTGTGGCACTTCATCTACACTTGAAATGAGGTTTTTCACAGAGCCTTTTATGCCTCCACGGACACGCCTCTTATGTTTGATAATTTCCTCTTCGTTTGACATTGTATATGATAATTATAAATGTCACTGTCGGCCATAACTCTAGCAGAAATTAACAGAATTTATTGAAATTAAATAGGCTTCTTCATCTGACTAATGCAAACAACATATATCAATTTCAAAACAATCAGATGATAAATGTAGTCTGTAAAGTGTTCACAAGAAATTGTGGACGACGGACAGACGGACCAACAGACAGACGGGTGTGACGGCAATATACGACCACATTTCCATTAGTGAATCCAAATACATAAAGAGAGGGGAATCCAAAACCATTTTAATAACATAAACTTAGATGGGATCTAAGTCATAATAAACTTGATACGATGACACCAGTAGTAGGAGTGGTTAAAAACAAAGTCAAGGGTATCACAAAACCATCTTTTATAGTATCTAATCTAACGTTTCGTAAGTCTAAAAACCTACTTCTTCAGAGAATACAAGCTACACAAATGATACAGTTGCAGTACAAGGTTAGTCATGGTAACAAGTGATGTCATAATTTATTAATGTTAATATGACGTCATAGCTTTGACGACATAATATAAAGAATAAGCTAAATAATAGTTTAAAAAATGTAAGATGTCTTCTGTATAATATCCATTGCGTAACAATAGCCAAGGCTATAACATAGTATTTGTATTTTGTTATATGTTGTATTTTACATGTATGCAGAAGGAAACACGAGTTTCGCCATACTCTTTAAAAGAATAAATGCCTTATAAACTTTTGCTGTTTTATTCACACTTCAGGTCTGGCCTTAAAAGACTAATTGAGAGTTAAGAGTGCTACATTTATTTGGCGAGCTTGCCAGGATGTTGGGTGTAAAGTGCTGATGTATGATGTCATGAGATAATTCGATTGGTATCCAGTGAATATTATCAGTGACTCGATTGGTGTTCAATGAGTGGTATTGATAGTTCGATTGGTGACCAGTGAATGGTATCTGCGTGTCGATGAGTCAAGCAACTTTTATCCGTTTGGTGAAAAGCAGTAGCTCAGAATCTTATTCTCATCTAGTCGGTGATTCAGTGTACCAGTAGAGATGGAAGAACAAGGAATTTTGTGGGATATAAAGGTGATACTTTACCAGTTGTCGGCAGTTCATCTTGAAAAGTGTTGTGGACAGCTGCAGGTAACTATAACCGCTAGGTTCTTCAATAACTAATAAGTCTGGAATGGTTCTTCAATCTTTTAATTACTGGAACTTATCTCTTACAAATGACAATAATTCAATACATACAATGTACACTTACAGCACAGTGGATAACCGACGTAGCTGCTACTAAGTCGGGTGACCTAATGACTTGCCTATTGATGTACATTAGCCTTTTTATATTCTAACTATAATTGGATAAGCTCAAGTGTTGACATCAAAACATATACTATACAGGATTATCACTAGAGACATTAACATAAATAAACAATAATGGATTAAATACTTAACTAATTAGCTTCTATCCTGATTTATATTAACCATGAGAAATTATCTAAAACTGACTGGTCATTATGCTTGGTCATATAACTGTAGATGGAAAAACAAAGGGTAATAGATTTGAACTTGTAAAACTCCTTGAGAAATATTTGTTGTCCTTAACTGGTGATGAAGACGCGGAGGATCTTCGTCCGCTACAAGATATGCTAAACGTGCTGAAGGTACAATTAGATAAACAAAATAGGTCAAATAAGGACAAACCAAAAACAGAAACTGTTGAAAATAGACTAATAGCCGATGAACCAGAAATTATAATCGAGTCAGAGATTATAAATGAAACAGAAAAACCAAAGGTTATAGACAATAGCAATAGAAAAGAATTTAAAATTGTGGGTGTAATTAACGGAAAAGATGGAATCAGTTTCGTAAACATCATCAGACAAATAGAAGCGGGATTACAGAGAGGTTATCCAGCTGCAGAAATTGTGTGGGCTATAGTTCGTGCGATACACACATCAGAGAAACTCAGGGGATACCTTGAGGGTAAATCAGATCTTACTCTTCCAGTGTTGAGGAAGCTACTACGGACATATTATAAAGAACGCTCTGCCACTGAACAATATACTGAGTTAACTGAAGCTATCCAAGGACAGAAAGAAGAGGTTCTAGATTTTGTGTGGCGTGTACTTGATTTAGGTCAGAAAGTTTCTTTCGCATCTGAGGAGGAGGATTCTAGTCTGAATTATGATAGAAAGTTGGTTCGTCAAATGACTTTAAAGAGTATTCATTTCGGGCTGAGGGACCCCACAACTGCCATGGAAATGAAGGATATTTTAGCAAAAAATCCATCAGATGAGTTCCTGACCGAATCCTGTAACAAGATAGTTTTAGAATACGAGGAGCGCACTAAAAAGTTCAAGACTAAAACGCGAGTAAATGTTGTTGCTTCAGAGACTACTATTAACTCAAACTCGGAGATAGACCAATTGCGATTGGAAGTGTTATCATTAAAAAGAGAACTTTCAGATGTTAAGACTCAAAAGTTTAAACCCTTCATCAGAAAAAAGTGTGAAAGGTGCGAGCTGAACAAAGTTGAAATCTGTGGACATTGTTTCATATGTGGATCTGAAGAACATTTCCGTGCAGGGTGTAAACAACGCAAGAATCGATCAAAAAACGTACAGGGATCCGGGCAGTGGGGAAACCCCTGATCCACATAAACAGTAATCCCCATGACCCTCAAAAGTTAGCTTGTGTTAACTGTGGACAACATGTATGTAAACTCTTTTCTTGTGGAAGATGTCTAGTTGCGAAGTACTGTTCTAAAATTTGTCAAAGGCACCATTGGAGAGATCACCATGATGTCTGTAAAACTTTAAATAGAATACAAAACTCAGATTGCAACACTTTAAAAGGCCAATCTACCCTGTCTCCGAAAGACAATTGGAAAACAATGTGACGTCT